CAGTATGTGAGGCAGTAACATCACCACTAAGAGGAGTAGGCTCCATATGGAGGCAGTAACACCACTGAGAGTGAGAGTAGTATGTGAGGCAGTAAACACCACTGAAGAGTGAGAGGAGTGACAGAACCATGTAGAGGCAGTAAACACCACTGAGGTTAGAAGGGCAGTAAATGATGAGGCATAACACCACCACTAGAGTGAGAGGCAGTAATATGCTGAGGCAAGGCAGTACACCACCACTGAGAGTAGAGGCAGTATGTGAGGCAATAACACCACCACGAGAGAGAGCAGTAACACCTAGCACTGTAGTGAGTAGGCACACCACATGAGAGTGAGAGGCAGTATGTGAGGCAGTAACACCACCAGAGTGAGAGGCAGTACCACCATGTGAGAGCAGTAACACCAACTAGAGTAAAGGCAGATGGAGCATAACCACACAGTGAGAGGCAGTAGTGAGCAGTAACACCACCACTGAAGTGAGGCAGTAACACCATGATGGAGGCAGTAACACCACCATGGAGGAGTGAGAAGGCAGTATGAGCAGTAACACCACTTGAGGAGTAGAGAGGCAGTAACACACCACTGAGGAGAGTAGAGAGTGAGGCAGTAACACCACCACTGAGAGTGAGAGGCAGTATGGATAGGCAGTAACACCCACGAGTGAGAGGCAGTATGTGAGGCAGTAACACCACCACTGTGAGTGAGCAGGCATCGCATGGTAGAGGCAGTAACATCCACTGAGTGAGGGAGTATGATGAGGCAGTAACACCACCACTGAGAGGAGTAACACCATGAGAGGCAGTAACACCACCACTGAGTGAGAGGCAGTAACATCACCACTGAGGCAGTGAGCATAGAGCAGTATGGAGGCAGTAACACCACCACTGAGTGAGAGGCAGTATGTGAGGAATAACACCACCACTGAGAGTGAGAGCTAGACACCACATAGCAGTTGTGAAGGCAGTAACACCACCACTGAGTGAGAGGCAGTATGTGAGGCAGTAACACCACCACGTGAGGTAGAGACCATGGAGCAGTATGTGAGGCAGTAACACCACCACAGTAGAGTGAGAGGCAGTAACACATGTGAGGCAGTGAGGCAGTAACACCACCACTGAGTGAGAGGCAGTATGAGCAGTAACACCCCATGAGAAGGCTGGAGCAGTAACACCACCACTGAGAGAGAGGCAGTATGTGAGGCAGTAACACCACTGAGTGAGAGAGCAGTAACCATGAGAGGGGAGTAAACACCACCACTGAAGTAGAGTATGTAGCATAAACACACGAGGCAGTATGTGAGGCAGTAACACCACCAGAGAGAGGCATGTGAGGAAACACCACCACTGAGTGAGAGGCAGTATGTGAGGCAGTAACACCACCACTAGTGAGAGGCAGTATAGACAACCCACCACTGAGATAGGCAGATGGCAGTAACACACCATGAGTGAGAGGCAGTAACACCACCACTGAGTGAGAGGCAGTATGTGAGGCAGTAACACCACCACTGAGTGAGAGGCAGTATGTGAGGCAGTAACACCACCACTGAGAGTGAGAGCAGTAGTGGAGGCATGTAACACACCACACTGAGTGAGAGGCAGTAACTGAGTGAGGCAGTAACACCACCACTGAGGTGAGAGGCAGTATGTGAGGCAGTAAACCAACACACCTGAGTGAGAGGCAGTATGTGAGGCAGTAACACCACCAGAGTGAGAGGCAGTGAACCACCATGAGTGAGAGGCAGTATGTGGCAGTACACCACCACTGAGTGAGAGGCAGTATGTGAGGCAGTAACACCACCACTGAGTGAGAGGCAGTATGTGAGGCAGTAACACCACCACTGAGAGTGAGAGGCAGTATGTGAGGCAGTAACACCACCACTGAGAGTGAGAGGCAGTATGTGAGGCAGTAACACCACCACTGAGTGAGAGGCAGTATGTGAGGCAGTAACACCACCACTGAGGAGAGGCAGTTAAACACACCACCACTGAGGAGAGGAGTAGTGAGCAGTAACACCACCACTGAGTGAGAGGCAGTATGTGAGGTCAGTAAACACCACTGAGTGAGAGCAGATGTGAGGCAGAACACCACCACTGAGTGAGAGGCAGTAAGCAGTAACACACCACTGATGAGAGGCAGTATGTGAGCAGTAACACCACACTGAGAGTGAGAGGCAGTATGTGAGGCAGTAACACCACCTGAGTGAGCAGGTAGCAGTAACACCACACTGATGGAGTAGGAGGCAGTAACACCACTGAGTGAGAGGCAGTATGGAGCAGTAACACACCCTGAGTGAGGCAGTAGTAGAGTAACACCACACTGAGTGAGAGGCAGTATGTGAGGCAGTAACACCACCACTGAGTGAGAGGCAGTATGTGAGGCAGTAACACCACTGAGTGAGAGGCAGTATGTGAGGCAGTAACACCACTGAGTGAGGCAGTAACACCACCACTGAGTGAGAGGCAAGTAACACCACCACTGAGATGAGAGGCAGTATATGTGAGGCAGTAACACCACTGAGTGAGGCAGTAACCACTGAGAGTGAGAGGCAGTATGTGAGGCAGTAACACCACCACTGAGAGTGAGAGGCAGTATGTGAGGCAGTAACACCACCACTGAGAGTGAGAGGCAGTATGTGAGGCAGTAACACCACCACGAGTGAGAGCAGTATGTGAGGCAGTAACACCATGAGTGAAGGCAGAAAATGGGCAGTAACACGAGCAAACACCAACTGAGAGTGAGAGGCAGTATGTGAGGCAGTAAACACCAGTGAGCAGTACATAACGCAAGAGTGAGAGGCAGGTCATGTACCGAGCAGTGAGCATAACACCACCACTGAGTGAGAGGCAGTATGTAGGCAGTAACACCCAAAACACCCACTGAGAGTGAGAGGCAGTATGTGAGGCAGTAACACCACCACTGAGTGAGAGGCAGTATATGAGGTAGTAACACCACCACTGAGCATGAGAGGCAGTATGTGAGGCAGTAACACCACCACTGAGAGTGAGAGGCAGTATGTGAGGCAGTAACACCACCACTGAGAGTGAGAGGCAGTATGTGAGGCAGTAACACCACCACTGAGAGTGAGAGGGTCAGTAATGTGAGGCAGTAAACACCACCACTGAGAGGAGGCAGTATGTGAGGCAGTAACACCACCACTGAGAGTGAGAGGCAGTATGTGAGGCAGTAACACCACCACTGAGAGTGAGAGGCAGTAACACCACCACTGAGAGTGAGAGGCAGTATGTGAAGCAGTAACACCACCACTGAGTGAGAGGCAGTATGTGAGGCAGTAACACCACCACTGAGTGAGAGGCAGTATGTGAGGCAGTAACACCACCACTGAGAGTGAGAGGCAGTAACACCACCACTGAGAGTGAGAGGCAGTAGTAGGTAACACCACCACTGATGAGTTGAGAGGCAGTAACACCACCACTGAGAGGGAACCCCTGAGAGGAGCAGTAACACCACCACTGAGTGAGAGGCAGTAACACCACCACTGAGAGTGAGAGGCAGTATGTGAGGCAGTAACACCACCACTGAGAGTGAGAGGCAGTATGTGAGGCAGTAACACCACCACTGAGAGTGAGAGGCAGTAACACCACCACTGAGAGTGAGAGGCAGTAACACCACCACTGAGAGTGAGAGGCAGTAACACCACCACTGAGTGAGAGGCAGTAACACCACCACTGAGAGAGAGACGCAGTATGTGAGGCAGTAACACCACCACTGAGAGTGAGAGGCAGTATGTGAGGCAGTAACACCACCACTGAGAGTGAGAGGCAGTATGTGAGGCAGTAACACCACCACTGAGAGTGAGAGGCAGTATGTGAGACAGTAACACCACCACTGAGAGTGAGAGGCAGTATGTGAGGCAGTAACACCACCACTGAGAGTGAGAGGCAGTATGTGAGGCAGTAACACCACCACTGAGAGTGAGAGGCAGTATGTGAGGCAGTAACACCACCACTGAGAGTGAGAGGCAGTATGTGAGACAGTAACACCACCACTGAGAGTGAGAGGCAGTATGTGAGGCAGTAACACCACCACTGAGAGTGAGAGGCAGTATGTGAGGCAGTAACACCACCACTGAGAGTGAGAGGCAGTATGTGAGGCAGTAACACCACCACTGAGAGTGAGAGGCAGTATGTGAGACAGTAACACCACCACTGAGTGAGAGGCAGTATGTGAGGCAGTAACACCACCACTGAGAGTGAGAGGCAGTATGTGAGGCAGTAACACCACCACTGAGAGTGAGAGGCAGTATGTGAGGCAGTAACACCACCACTGAGAGTGAGAGGCAGTATGTGAGACAGTAACACCACCACTGAGAGTGAGAGGCAGTATGTGAGGCAGTAACACCACCACTGAGAGTGAGAGGCAGTAACACCACCACTGAGAGTGAGAGGCAGTATGTGAGACAGTAACACCACCACTGAGAGTGAGAGGCAGTATGTGAGGCAGTAACACCACCACTGAGAGTGAGAGGCAGTATGTGAGGCAGTATCACCACCACTGAGAGTGAGAGGCAGTATGTGAGGCAGTAACACCACCACTGAGAGTGAGAGGCAGTATGTGAGGCAGTAACACCACCACTGAGAGTGAGAGGCAGTATGTGAGGCAGTAACACCACCACTGAGAGTGAGAGGCAGTATGTGAGGCAGTAACACCACCACTGAGAGTGAGAGGCAGTATGTGAGGCAGTAACACCACCACTGAGAGTGAGAGGCAGTATGTGAGGCAGTAACACCACCACTGAGTGAGAGGCAGTATGTGAGGCAGTAACACCACCACTGAGAGTGAGAGGCAGTATGTGAGGCAGTAACACCACCACTGAGAGTGAGAGGCAGTATGTGAGGCAGTAACACCACCATTGTTTACATACACTGCCGCCTCACAACAACAATATGAGCCGCCCACACCGCACTCTTCACTCGCATATTTCTCATCCCCCTCCTTAATTCACGCTGCTTTTCCGTTATCATCACCTCCGCTAAACTTACGTTAGTTACGTCGCCAGATCTAGTGAAAACATCTCATTTTAGCAGTGAGTGTTGGTAGCAGCAAGTGATGAACGTTGACCAGGACGGCCATTTTTAGCTCTACTGAAAACCTGGAGCAGAATTGGCGGCCCTGGCGGAGTTCCACTTTCTCGCCAGCTGTGGCGGCCATGGCGGCTGTACACATATACCCGCCTTTATCCTGTCACAAGTAGTACTTTATACAAGTGAATTAGCGTAGTTTTAAATAAATCGTTGAATGAATGTTAAGTTATTGTAAATGTATGCGTGTATATTTGTGTATTAGTGAGGAGGTTATGGTGGCGGCTGCAAGCCGCCACCAGTGCCACTGTTGCTATCCACAATGCATTTACCACGGCCATCATCACTCTATAGTTATACTTTTGGTTAATTAAGTTTAAGGAGTAAGTGTAAATATGGTTGTAATGATTTAGTTGTGAGTGTGGTATCCTTGGGGAGGGGAGGCAGTAGTGCGCATGCGCCGCCGCCATATTGTGGCCTCGTGATCATAACACTGGTGGTGGAGACTTTGTTCACTTATATTGTATTACTGTCACATAAACACACACTATGTGAGTATATCACCCTCAACACCGTAGCCATAAGTATGTGAGGGTGTGTTTGAGAGTGAGTCTCCACACTTACAACGCTCCTCACAATATATATACGTCTGTGTAAAAGATGCTTCCGCCATTTGTGTAAAGATCAAGTAGTGTTTCAACGCACTTAGTGCTTGCTACACCCTCACCACTACTCTCTTGCCTTCCCTCACACTACCTCAGTGGTGCCTCATATCACCTTGTACACGAGTCGGGAGTTTAAAATTTGATGCGGGAAATTAGGTAATCTTTCAGTGAGTTGGCGCCACATTGTTGGGAGGTTGCCTACTTGTACACCTTCACTCACTACACTCACACTCACTCACACACATTACTCACTCATCTACTCACTCACACCTACTCACACACCTACTCAGTGGAAATAAGTCAAGTTTGTCTGGCAGTTTGGGGGGTTATCCTAGGTAATATACACTATGTATGATTATTGTACTGAGGTGTACCTGTGCCTAAATAAACTTACTCTCATACACCTACTCACACACACCCGCTTACTATATATTACTCACACTGCTTATCTTGTAAACAAGTTTTGAAGATATATTCTTATTGTTGGATTTCAGAAAGATAGTTATCACCCTTGATATTATTATTATCTTGTTATTATCTGGTCCAGGAATTACCAATATACACTCACTTGATTGAAGTAAGTTCTTCTAGTTATTATTACTGGTGAAATAATATTAATTACCATTATCTGACATTATTTAAAACAGTTTTCATGTACAATGTTCAGCATTGTTACTATCTTACATTGTTATTTTTAGTATTTTTTATGGGGAATCTTTAAACCCATATGGGTTAGGCAGAGCCTAAGGAATGGGAGGTGATTTGAAGTGAGTCAAGGAATACATAGTAAGATTATTTAGGCAGAGGTTCACACAAATACAATTATTTTACATAGTGTAAATTACCTAGGATAACCAAAAAAGGTCAAAGAAAGTTACTTGTTTGCAATTCCTTGGCTCAGAGGCCCTTCAATGGCATCTAGGCTCCATCTTACATGGAAATTTTATGTAAACAGCTTTGTAAGTTTATTTAGGTACAGGTACACATATCTACAATTACACAAATTATACATAGTAACACAAATTATACATAGTAACACAAATTATACATAGTAACACAAATTATACATAGTAACACAAATTATGCATAGTAACAAGTGTAAATCAGTCACTCAATTTTTATTTCCTTGCAAGATTACATTGAGATTATGAAATTACAAAAATGAGTTGCTGTACAAAGAGCCACTATCATACCTGGGCATTATGGCCAGACTTAATTTAATGGCTTACACACTACTTAATACTAAAGAAATTGAAAATAGTTTAAGTTGTACATCTTTTTTATTTGTAGCACACAATAATTTTACTCAGATTACAATACTTTCAATAGTAAATATTGAAATTACATTATGGGAATATAACATTGTGAGTTGTTGAAAGTAGTTTACAGTATGAGAATTGTGAGTTGTTGAAAATAGTTTACAGTATGAGAATTGTGAGTTGTTGAAAGTAGTTTACAGTATGAGAATGCTACAATTGGGTGTAAGGCAGTAATGTTTTGGGTAGGTATTAATACTACAAGGTAGTTTTAATCAGTGTATGATCTTTGGGTGCCATGTTTTGAAGTTTTAAGATTTAGGTAATTGGGAGATTTTTTGGTAAAGTTTAATATTGAGTATTTAGTTTAGGGTGAGTAAGTGGTTTTTGAGAAGTCTTCAATTGATGTTCAGACCGGGTTACTTCAGTATTTACTAGTAATGAATTCCAAATTTTGGGGCCCTTTATGTGCATAGAATTTTTACGCAGTGTGATATGGACATGATATGTCATTGTGACCAGACCTACCTGGAGTTCATTACCTTTGTAAATTGTGAGTTCATTACCTTTGTAAATTGTGAGTTCATTACCTTTGTAAATTGTGAGTTCATTACCTTTGTAAATTGTGAGTTCATTACCTCTGTAACTTGCTCAGCTATCAAAACTTTGGAGTCCAGTCCCTGGACCAATTATGTACCTCTGTAATCTTTTGACTACCGCCCACAGGATGGGTATGGGGTGCATAATAAACATATTAAACTAACTAAACACGGGGTACATCAAAAAGAGATCTGCGTCTTATGTTATGGTCGTGTGACCTGTTAAGGTTAGTGAGGAGAAGTTTGAGTGGAGGGTTTGTTTTTGAGTGTAGTGTTCCATATATGTATGTAGTAGGCACATCAGTAAGTATGGATTTTCTTTACGGTGAGCAGTTTTAGACTTGAATATTGGTAGCATATGCTGTTGGGAGTGGGAATTTATTATCATTCTGACTGCAGCCTTTTGCTGGGTTATTAGTGGCCTTAGGTGATTTAATGTTGTTGATCCCCATGAACAAATCCCATATGTGAGATAAGGGCAGATGAGTGAATGATACAGTGCAAGGAGAGCTGATTGTGGAACACGGTACCGTATCTTTGATAGTATGCCTACTGTCTTAGAGATTTTTTTGGAAATTTGTTGTATCACTAGCACGTTAAGAGACCATACAATAAGTGTCAGGGGCCCGAGACTGTTCAACTGCCTCCCAGCACACATAAGGGGGATTACCAACAGACCCCTGGCAGTCTTCAAGCTGGCACTGGACAAGCACCTAAAGTCAGTTCCTGATCAGCCGGGCTGTGGCTCGTACGTTGGTTTGCGTGCAGCCAGCAGCAACAGCCTGGTTGATCGGGCTCTGATCCACCAGGAGGCCTGGTCACAGACCGGGCCGCGGGGGCGTTGACCCCCGGAACTCTCTCCAGGTAAACTCCAGGTATGTGTGTTTGGAATTTGAGGCTACTGTCAAGGTGGATTCCTAGGAATTTTCCCTCTATGAATCTTGTGATGGATGATCTATTTAGCATTATGTTAAGTAGAACATTTGCAGCTCTGTTTCCAAACTGAATGAAATAGGTTTTGTTAGTATTGAGGGTAAGCTTATTAGTCATCATCCAGGTAGGTATTTTCTGCTATTCGGCATTAACAGTGTTGGCCAGTATGACTGGGTTTGGGTGAGAGAAGATGTATGTTGTGTCATCTGCAAATAATATGGGTTTGAGTAGTTGTGATGCATTCAGTAGGTCATTCATGTAAATGAGAAAGAGGAGTGGGCCAAGGACACTTCCTTGTGGAACACCAACTGTGATTGGTTGAGTAGAAGAGTTTGCTCCATTTGTGCACACATATTGGCTTCTGTTACTAAGGTATGACTGTAGGTAGTTGAGGGAGTGCACTCTTATACCATACTGTGTTAATTTAATGTGCAGCAGTCATGGTCGACAGTATCAAAAGCTATACGTAAATCAATGAAGATTCCCAGCGGGACTTCTTTCTTCTTGAGAGCAGTGTATATTAGTTCTAGCATGTGTGTAATACCATCATTTGTGCTTCTATTATTCCTGAATCCAAACTGACAGGGGTTTAGTATGTTGTGTGAGACAAGGTGGGAATAGATCTGCCTATGAATTAATTTTTCAAAGATTTTAGAGATCAGAGGTAAGTTAGAAATTGGTCTATAGTTATTCATGTCTGCTTGATCACCTCCTTTGTGGATCGGGGTGACCCTTGCTATTTTGAGAATTGCTGGGAAGGTGGAGGATTTGATGGATTTGTTTAAGAGTGTTGCAATTATTGGTGACAGTATTTGTGAAGCAAAAAGCTTCACAAATACTGTAAATAAAACGTGGTAAGTTACTTATGTCTCCTGCCTGGTTTTTAAGGGTGTTGATGAGCAAAACTTCTGTTGGGTTGGTTGGGGCTAGGAATAGTGTATTCGGGTAGGTGCCCGTGAGGTAGTCTGATGGATGGTTGTTTGACATGGGGATTTTGCTAGCTAGATTCTTTCCTATAGTGGAGAAGAAAACGTTGAGTCTGTTTGCTGTTTCAGTTGGTGAAAGTAGGGGTTCGTCTGATTTTGTTAATTGGATTGTTTTTTTTTGGATATCTTTTTAGTTCCAGGAATTTCGGATAGGGTTTTCCAGGGTTTTTTTATATCACCTTATATGTTATGTAATCTGTTTTCATAATACAATGTACAATTTTTTTTGACCTTCTTATCAGACTGGTAAAGATTGATGAATAACGTTTAGAATGATCTCTAGTTATTTGACCCATTCTGTACTGTTTTTCATATAGGTGCTTTGTGTTAATGGATTTAACCCTTTCAGGGTCGAAAATTTTTCGAAAAAAAATAAAAATTATTTTTTCTTAGGAAATGATAGATAATCCTTTCCCGGTGACAAAAACACCAAAATTATGAAATTTGATTGAAAACTTATGGAATTATGCACTTGCAAAGCTAGCGGTCTCGATGATGTTTACTTTGAGCCCTATTTTCGGCCAATTCCAATGTACCAGTTGACAAAAATCATAACTATTTCGCTAGAGCTCCATTTATTCTATCGAATGAGTACAAGAAACCACCCATTTACCGATTTCAACTATCCAATAAGGTGATCAGAAATTGGTAATTTTGCCAATTTCACACAAATTTCAAAAGATGCCAATTTCCAAATAGGGTCCAGAATAAACAAGACACATTCTTGGCACTAAAATAACATTTTCTCTGTTCATTGATCATGTCCCCAGGCCCCTCTTACATTTCTTTTGCTTTCCACTTTGAATTTTTTTTCTCACAAAATATAGAAGATTTACTGTTATGCAGACTACTGCATTAGTGAAAGAATACTAGACTCGCCAGTTGATGTGTATTGGATGCATGGCATGATTTGTTTACTTTTGAACATTGGCAAAAATTGAACATTTCTGCTAATTTGAGCTAAGTCTCAAGGTACTTTTCATTGTGAAACCAATCAAAATCATCTCAATTTTTATAATACGTCTTCCATTCTATAAAATGAGACCAAGAAAACGAGAATACATCCATAAATACCATACAAAAATACACTGCAAAGTCGCTGTTTTAAGCCA